GATTTGTTTTGAAATGGATACAGATATTAGCAGTTGATAGATTGTTAGTTTAAAGTTTAATTCATTAAAATTTGAATTTAAATTATACCGTGAGAATCAATGGGAATATTATTTGATTTTAAATAGTATACATTAATTAGATCAAACATTTTTCGGTTAATTTAAAATAAAATTTGCATATTGATTGGTTTCTTCGCTTAATAAAAGTTCCAAATTTAAATTTTATGAAAGTTTATTTTATTCTTTTAGGGAAGGAATACATTTTTTTTGAGATAGTTATCGCTTGACAGCTTACTAGTAATAGACACTGAACTAAATTGAAAAATGAGACGCATTACATACTGCTGAAAACAAAAGAAATTAATTATGAAATTATAATACAATTTTCATAAATGCTATTGGTAGATTATATTAAATTATATTAAAATAAAAATGATAATAAATTATAAAAATTACATTTTAACAACTAATGGTACAAACAAACCAATTGGACTATGTATAAAGACTTTCGAACAAGTGTTTGCTGGAGATTCTTATACCATATATTCCCACAAATACTAATCTTGCTAACATTGGTTGTACTGTCTAAAATAATATCTACACGTCTTGCATGTTAAAAAGAGTGATAAAATATTTTATAGATTCAATAAATGATAAAAGTTTAAATTTATCATTTTGTAATTATTTTAACAATATATATACATACATTTTTCTTTATTATCATGTTAAAATAAATTTCATTTTATGACATACGATAATATAAGTATAATAAAGGTAAATAAGCAAATGGATACTCTCACTTTATGGTCTTAATTCATGTCATACAAATGTATGGTATTTATAATACCATTTTACCGTTTTATAAGTTATATTTTATAAAATGCAGAAATAGTTAAAAATAAAAAAATAATTCACTTTATTGGATCACAAACTTCCTTAGTAATATTTTGCAAATAGTTTTATCAGCATTTGATAAAGAAATTAAATTTTCAGTTTGATTTATTGGGAGCTGCCATTTATACACTTATAAAAGTGAAATAAGTGAGCATAAAATATATATAAATGTGTATTTAATAACATCATAGTTTTTTTCAACTGATTACGTCACATCGTAAAATTTCATTTTTTCAAAATATTTTATCAATAACATTTTTTCGAGACACACAAATATGTCACCTAGTAAATTCCAACCTAACATTTTTGAACTTTTTAATGTAATAAAATAACAAAAATGCTATCGCCGTTTTTTTTTTTTTTTTGAAATAAACTCACAAATAATGTGATGTACTCAAAAATTGTTGATACGGAAAGTATTTCTATGTTGAACTTTTATTTTTTTAATGTCTTTTTCAATGTCAACATCAACACAATCATTATGGATCATGTTCTTTTTAATCGTGTGGTTATTTACATCATCTATGTATGTTACAAGTGATTTGTTGTGTTCTGTCTAATTAGTTCCATTTAATTGATCGTATCATTTTAAAGGCCTATCAGCCACAGAGCGTAAAATTAAATATTAGACCCATATATCGTATATGGGCATTCATAAATAACACAAAAAGTAGTTTATATAGTATACAGGTGTATGAAAGTTTTTTCTAAATATTTTTAAATTAAATTATTTAAATGATTTCGTTTATAGTTTATAGTTTTTTTATTTCATGATAATATATAAGAAGATGTAATTGTTATTACAATTACTCTTAAGTTAGAAAGCAAGATTTGATAAACAGAAACGCACCGTTAATATTCCGTTAATACACCCGTTCCTATTCAAATTCTATTTGATCCTCAAAATCATGTACTACAATAGTTAAATAATACAATAATAATATTATGTCTCATATAAACTAATCTACTAAATAAATTAAATGCATATCAGTTATGGAAAATGCATTCCTGAATGTGGTGCGTTTTTTAGTAATTTTCTTTAATTGAAATAAACAAAAATTAAATAAACAGCTAACAGCACCGAAATATTAAAAAGTAGGAAAAAATTGAAACAGTTTCTAGGTATTTACAAAAATTGTTTTCATTGTGAATAAATGAACGTAACATACTACTGCACATACCATTAGAGATTTTTAAAATTTTTGTATGTTGTGAAAACTACGTCCAAAAAATTAACATCTCAATCAATCAAATCAGTATTTATCATAAAATATGTATTTGATCAAGTCATGATTGCATTATATTTGAACGTATCTAAAAAGATTCTATCAAACTATGTCCATCTTCTTAGGCGCACAATAGATCTTTTAGGTGGTGGTACATTCATAGCTTATTACTTCATAATAATAATGTCCTTACTTTATGCAACTAAATGTATGGCGAAGATCTACAGCCAATTCCTTCTAATTGTAATAAGAAAACATTTCTTCAAAAGTTTTGGTTTTAATTGCACTTGACTAACAAATCCCCACTATGTATCGTATATAATTATGGTCAGTATTGCTCTGATATTATATATTGTGAAATTTTGTACAGTTTACTGGAAAAGATTGTTAGTGCTCTATCTGTACAGATTCCTACATTACAGTATAATTTTTGAAAATTAAGATATCAAGTACAAATATTCCATTCATAGAATTTTGTTCATTCCGTTACATTTTTATAAAGTTATTTCAAAAAAATTCAAGGAGGGAATAAAGTTTTTAAATTCCAGACTTGTACTTGCAGCAATTATTTAACGTGCCAAAAATATTAACGATCACTTCAAAAACGCAGCTATAATGTGGCGCCATCGTTTGCACCGATTTACGATATACCAAAAAAATTTGCTTGTACATAAAAGGCAGTGTAAAAATGTGCGAAGTTGTTCTCACTTTTGTTTGTTAGTTTTTTATTCTTTATACGTATCTAAAATTATTAATTATAAACGATAAAACATCAGACATCAAAACATAATCCATAGACATGAACATGTGTGTTGATAAATCATTTTATATCAAATGCTAATATAAATAATATTTTTCATATATGAAAAAACTTTAAAAAAATTAAATTTTCTAAAAATTAATAATAATTGTTGCAAATTATCTGGTATAAGAAGTTGAAATAATTGTAAATAAAACATATAATAATTGAGTATACAAATTATATATTAAAATTATATGAACTCCAACAAAAGTACAATTATCTTTAAAAAATAGTGAGTTTTAATTTAATACTTTCAAGTACGTATATTTAACATTTGAATAAACATAGTTGAAATAACAACAATAATTATATCTTACATCTGGCATGTACAAAAAATTAGCTAATAATTTTAATTGTAATTAATAGTTTCAACTTTAATGCTGAAATTTTTTCATGCACATTATTTTCTCATTTCTTCCACACATTTGTCTATGATAATTCAACTAATTTTTGACTCGCATGTTCAATGATGTTTGATTTCCTCTTTATGATGTTTGAAAAAATACCTACAACGACCTTTACCCATTCGAAAGTAACCTGTCATAATCAGATTCGTCATCATCAAAGATATAATCATCAAAATTCATTAAAAAATTTCAATGATTCATTAAAATGCCATGTACAGTAAAAGTTCAGCAATAATATATCTGTTCACATTTGAATTAATCACACTGACGATTTACTAATTTTATTTATCTCATTTATTATTCATGATAACGTTAAAGATACAAAATAATTTTTATTAATTACCACAATTAATATGCATTTTTCAAACGTTTTTAAGAAAAAAAAAATCATCATATTTCTCAAAATGTTGAATGGGAAATATTTTAATTCATATTTATTATATATATATTTAAGAAAATTAATGCCCAAATTTGGTAAAAGGAGTGTAGGAAGTGATTTTTTTTGTCTTAAACAAATGTTGAACATATTTGTCACAAAATGATTACTCATACTTAAAGTATACTTCAACAAGATATTTTCAAAATGTTATTTGCATATTATTAAAGTGAACTTGTACTTTTGCTTAAGAAGGTCGAATATAGCTGTTACTAAAAATTAAGAAATATTATATAAACAAAAATAAATGTTATAAACCTTGAACCTCATTCAAAAAAATCAATTTATTTATATATATATATATTTTTAGCAATTAATTGTAG